AAGAACGATGAAAGTTCCACGACTAAACCATTCAGCTCAGAAAATAAACCTCTATCAAGATCCTTCTCTTCTTTGAAAGTATAAACTCTTATTATTACATCATAAGATTCCTCACAATGGATTACATCATTGTTTCATATATATTTTTTGTTTTTCTTCTGGTTTTAATTAAATATACTGTGTCCACTTTTGTTGTTACTTAGTACTACTGTTTATCCATTAAACAAACACTTAGTTCAATCATTTTATTACTATCAATGTTATAGAATGTTCTTGAACATATGACTTTTAATTCTCTCCAATTCATTTATATCTTTGTTATGGTACCCTGATTTGACCTTCTCTCTCTCTCCCTGTCTCCTCAAATTAACCAAATCAGGATTATGAATGTAAAGGTTCAATTAAAATGTGATGTGACCTATGGTATCGGTTATTATGTTAAGCCCATATATCTTATTCTAGCATTCGGACAGCCTATTCTGTTCCTCCATCTTGAGTCAAATTTTGACCTTGTTAATTATTCGCTTCATCAATCTTGACTGTTTTTATATGATCGCGTAGGTGTGTGTACATTTCTGATCCCATTACTCATCACATGTCTGTAACTTAACTTTTGTGTAACTATAAATATTGATTAACGCTCGCTTAAATGTGTGTTGGCTTACCAGCCATCTCCACTCTGCGTCCTTTCTCTTCTCTCTATTCCATTCGGTTTATTTACAAAATATATGTATTCAAAAGTCCATTCTCGTTATTCGACTTGCTTAATTCCGTTATTGACTAACGCGATTTAAGTGGATCATTATATAAGAGGATAGGTGATAAGAAAAATTCACTACGATCATCTTGGAGTCAGATCCACGGGCCACTAAAGAACCATGAGATAAATGATAGTTTATAGTGAATAATTCAATTTATGATAGATTAATGTTGATTGGACTATCAATGAACATATAAAAGTTCTGAATAGATGTTTCGTCTATATAACTAACTCTTCACAAATAAGTCATCCAAGCTACCATTTGCAATCGATTTCTGTTAGTTGCTAGTACTTAAATAAACTGAGTATTTGATTGAAATCGTGAGTCAATCAAAGCTAGACAATCATGGAAAACCTGGAAACACTGAACGGCCGTTTCGTCTTAGTATGGGACTCCTCATCAGTGCGCACCCACGATCTCGCACCCCGCGAGATTTGAACCCAGGACCTCTCAGTCTCGCGTCAGGCGTTTAATCAAGTAGACCACTGAGACAGCATACAATGGTGTTAATGTCTAATCTCAACCAATGCACAAAATTGTATTGTCATAATGAGAGATGTTGTATTCTCAAAACATCAATTGAAATAAGTTTATAGTTCATTTCATACAAATACACATATTGAACACAACTGTTTACATATCTCCACAACTTCACTATTATTGTTGCTTCGAGTTCAGTTCTCTTAACAAATACAGATGATAAAAGATATGACTACATTGTCTATGTTAATTGTAAATATGAAAAAATGTAAAGTGAATATATAACCGAATATGTGATGAAAGACATACGGTAAACATTCATTTCAGACATAGATTACCATTACTATTACTATTCTTATCAATGGGAATGATCATAGCAATTAGTTTTTTTGTTGATTTTCTGATATCACTCAAGACAAAATCATCAGTACTTTACTTCATTGAAGTCGAGTATTCTATAAGTTATAGTATCATAGATAAATCATCAAACTCATGGAAGTTCTAAATGTTCCATTGAATCTTCAACTTAATCAATTTAAGTCAAAACGCTTATCATGAGATTGAACCTTTTTGATTTCGAGAGTATTTACTGTTGAATAATTTCCAACTATGATAAAATACATATCTCATGGTGTTTTTGATTCTTAGTGTTTCACTATTAACTATCAACCTGTCGTGTATATAACTATGGAATTCTAATTTTTTCTAATAAAACACAGACAATTAGACATTCACTAGGGAGAAACAAAAGATATCAGATTGTTATCAAGTTAAATAATTGTTCACTAATCTCCGTTTTCTGTGGATCATTAAATTTAGTGTTACTGTAGTTCTGGTAAAACTATAGGACAGTCATAAAAATGAAGCTACTTTCAGGCAATGATCAGACAGTACACATAAATCAGAAGCATTCCACAGACGAATAAAAAGAAAATTGTCAGTTTAGGGATTATAAAGATTGTTAGGTTTTTGATTGAAATCATGAGTTCATTGAAGCTTGACTACCATGGAAAACCTGGAAGCATTGGATGCTGGCTCAGTGGTCTAGTTGGTTAAGCGCCTAGCGCCAGACTGATAGGTCCTGGGTTCTAGTCTCGCGGGGTGCGGGATTATGGGCGCGTATTGCTGAGAAGTCCCATACTAAGACGAAACAGCTGTCCAGTGCTTCCAGGTTTTCCATGATGGCCTAGCTTCAATTGATTCATAATTTCAATCAAAAAAGAAAATTATTAGAATCTAGTGGTTTAAGGTATTTCTAGGCTTAATATTAATATTAATACTTTAATTTATCAGAAATAACCACATCAAATCATTAATCTGTATGGAGATTTATTCACATTGATTGTTACTTTTCGACTGTTTCTCATAGTTACAAGCGATCTAATATAAATCTCATCACTAAACGTTATTAAGAATAATGGAGATAAAATAGTAGACGATCAATCGATTTTTACCACTACAATCTAAAGATACTATGAGTATTGTCATTATTTATTCTGACATTTCTAACTCATTTCAGTTCATTTATTATTCAATGAATCATTGATAAAATGGTTCCTTTTAGATCTTCCTGTATACAATGTGAATCTAAACAAACCTAATTGATTCATGTGTTACATAATAATCTTGATGAGCAATTAAGAGCCTAATGCGTTAAACATCAATAATTTTATTCTATAATCTGTTATAGCTTGTGGCCTGAGTGTCCTGTTAATGTACACACCACCGCCAATTAGAGAGCGGTGAATTATCGATCGGACCAATGACGCCTAAAACCCATGCGAGCAGCCTAGAGTCCTGATTGGTCCTACTTGCTGCTTAACTCAGCCAGTTAGGTCCAGAACACCAATCTCAACATCTGCAATATGAATCCTTATATTTCAAACATACTGAGTTTATATACCAATTGAACAGACCACAACGTACCAATAAAATATGAAAGAACATTTGTACAAGAATTAGCCAGATATGGCTGTGAATGAGGGAGGTAGTAATTAATAGACTGGGTATAACTCAAGAATGGTAGATCGTATAATAAATAATAGTTTATAGGTCAAAATGAAGCTCATAATAAGAGGGACACAGATATGAATAGTTTAGTGATTTATCAATTATACGCATAGTATTGGTCCATAAATGGATCCCAAAAAGTTACCATTCATTATGTTTATCGAGGATATAATAAATCACAAAAAACAAATTTTCCTTAAAATATGAAACATTTCAAGCATCATATAAATGTAGTTTTGTTTTGAAGTTTACATGGTCAAACTTCAAAACGATCGATTTTCAAATTTTATACAAACAAACAAAAAATTTAAAAAAAAATAAATCGCAACAACTCTATAAAATAGATGAATGAACCAATCAGATTTAAGAAAACAGATCAAGGATTTTGGCGCGAAATTCATTCAACCATGTGTTTAAATAATGTTTTGACATTTTACCTCATATTAATTAGTGATAAAAAACCCCACAATTTAATTCCTAATTATAACCATTAACTGTAAATCATAGTCTTTAATCTTTAAATTAGTTTATAACATTCAATTAGATCTAGCAAGAAGGTGGATATTCTCAAGATTAATTTAAAATCGATCCAAGGTCATTCATAAAGTATAGTCTCACTATTTTCTGAATTGTGACCGTCTCATCGGCATAAAACACTTTACATAAAGAAACAGTTTCTTTCAGAGAAAAACTTTAGTTGGCAAAAACCATTGATAATGGAGTCAATAAACAACAACTTTCAGTAAAAATTTAAACGTTTCCATTAGTATAACCTAACATTAACTGTCATAGAAAGAAAATGGAATTATTTGGATCTCATAGAGATATGTTCAGTTCCTTTAAAACACTCCATTCATCTTCACAAATTCAGACACTGATTTGCAATAAAAATCACATACTCACATCATTAATTTTCAAGATTTTGTCAATTACAAAACTTCTTCAGTAGCATGAGTGCTTGTTTTTTTAAAAATAACTTCTATCAGTTGGTGATTATACTACTTAACATATATGGTAGTAGATAAACACTAATTAAATTATTTCCCTACTATCAACAAATGAAATGTTTAATATCAGAAGGGGTTTTGTGGATATTTAAGTCATTTTAATGGTTGAGATTATGAGTCAATGGTAGCTAGAACACCATGGAAAACCTTTGAAGCACTGGACAGACATTTCGTCCTACTGTGGAACTCCTCAACAGTGCGCATCTGCGATCCCGCCTCGAGGCTATCCAGTGCTTTTAGGTTTTCATAGTGGTCAAGCTTCAATTGACTAATGTTCTCAACTACTAAAATTACTATAATATCCAGAAAACCCCTTCTTATATTAATCAACATATGTTCACTAGTGACTGGCATCAAGATGTATATCTTAGAGTTCTAGTGAGAAGCAGTGACCAGTGCAGTTCAACCGGGTCACTTGTGAGATAGTAACTCAGTGATGACAATGGTGGATGTGTCGCTAAATTCTGTGGATTAATTGAAGTTAGACATTAACACTTTTGGATGCTGGTCGGCATATTTTTCTAAAGGTTAAGCGCAAGCGCACGTGACTGATAGGTCCTGGGTTTGAATCTCACTAAACAGGATCGTAGATGTTCACTGCTACAGAGGAGTCCCACAATAGGATGAAACAGCCGTCTAGTGCTTTCAGGTTTTCCATGGCGCTCTAACTTTCATGGACTTATGATCTCAACTATTAAAATGTTATTTTAACTAAATTTTTAAAATGATTATGTGTACTGACCTTGAGTTGATTGCTATAGCACTTGAATCTATCCAGTTATGATGAATATAAATGATATAAAAAAGTGATCCTGTTCTAAGTAATTGTATTCTGTATAGTTCAATGATTGATACTATACTATGATTAATTGTAATCTTTACGTTATGTATACAGGGATCTATTTGTTATGTATAATCTCAGTTGAAGAGTACATTGTATTATTCATATAAGTTTGTTAATTGTATACTTGAAATTCGCTGTCAAGAAAGAATAATTTTGTCATGACAATTGAACAAACGTTTTACTGAGGTGTTTTTTTGCTTCCCCTCAATTCAAAGTAGAATGGTAGGAATTGAATGGATGAAAATAACCAATCAGAATGTTATACAAAAGTGATCTTATTTAAATTTGATTGGTTGAAACAAATTAACGAATGATGAATAAGGGCTAGTAGAGTAATCCACAACATGCGTTTTTTCCTATTTGGGACTTGTCAACTGAATGTATCTGTATCCTACTCTGGGACTCGAACCCAATACCGTTCATTTCAAATGTCATCATATTATCTACTTAACTACTGAGTCCTATTAGTCATCAGCTTGTACAATGGAGTGAAGTTTAAATTCATTTAGTGTTGTTTACTTGAATCTTCCCATTGTTGATCAATCTCTCATTGGCATAGATACATTCTGATCAATGTGTTTCCATACTGCACTAAAGTAAAAGCTTCATAGGCTCATTGTGATTAATAATGAATATCTTCAATATATATTGAAATCAATTTTTCATTTCAATATACAACGGTCTACTGTATCACCTCCTTAATGATTTGACTTTAGTGTTGATGAATTTTGAAGTGAACTACAATTCCATAATGAAAGTACATTAAATTATGATGTAATATACATTTGAAGATTTCAATGATAACCATATTCTGTCTATTCTATAACAAGAAAAAAAAACACTTTTTCAGTATTCCGGAAAGTTATGTTTCTTTTTTCAATTAAATTCATCAAAATATCATCTTGAATTGTTATTTAAATGTTGGTGTAGTACAGTTATCTGATTAAAACAATATCTAACGAATATTTGATTAACCTATTGGACCACTGAACCGGCATCCAATGGTGTTAATGTCTAACCTAAACCAATCCACAAAATTGTGCGACCATCTAACATTGTACTGAGGTAGACATCTGTTTCTACTCGACACGGATTAGCTTCACTGGTTATGGCTTCTCACCAGAACTCCGAGAATTTTCTCACAAAGTTAGTCACTAATGAACACATGATAATGATCAGTTTAGGGGTTGTGGAGAATCAGGTGTCTTCCTCAGTACAATGGAAGATGGACGAGCAACTTCATGGATTTGTTGAGGTTAGACATTCACACCATTGGATGCCGGCTCAGTGGCCCAGTAGATTAAGCGTTCACGCGCGAGACTGAATGCCCCGGATTGGAATCCCGCGAGTGGGATCGTGGATGCGCACTGCTGAGGAGTCACACAATAGGAGGAATATTTTATTCTTATGCAATTTAGAATAGTAAAAAATTGAGATATTAGAGTAATAGGATAGGTAATCTTTCATTATTTTCATAGTTGAAGTCACAAACTGAAAGTAACTTGAAAAACATTAAGAATCTGAAAACAGTAGGTAGTCATTTAGTCCTAGTATATGACTTCACAATACTGCATATTCACAAAATCATATACGGAAACCCAAGCAAGCACTTTCGGTCTCACAAGCGAAACTTTAACCTCGAGACCTTTGAATTATCAATAAACTATAGTATTGTCTAACTTCAATTATTCTGTGATTTTGTTTAGTCCTACATCGATTGATTGCAGTCGAAAACTACCTTAAACCTGACACACATTGAACTGGACTGGTCCTGCTTTCTCACTAGAACTTCAGAAGTTACATATCGAAACTAAGGATTAGTAAACATTAACTTGTTTTTAGTATATGGGATTTGTGGTGATTGTGGTTTTTTACACAGTTGAGATCAAGATTACCAATAAAAACCTGAAACCATTGGATAACTGTTTCATCCTAGTTTGGGTTGAACACTATTGAGAAGTCGCTTACTTGAACGAAACAGCTGTACAATACCGGCGAAGATCTGAATGATAATTTAATAATTCAATAATCTTCACAACTTGCTGAGGATGTTGGATCCCCAAAAACTCATATTTTGTAGTTTTATCTTTGTGGAGCTTGTATGCAGATGTATTCTTAGGCATTTCTTACCACTCACGCATATAGTCGATTGACGAACTTATCGATTAAATGTTTAAAAACTACCATGGCAACATCGACTATATATATTTGTATAACCACGCTTGATTTGTGTGCCTGATTGACCTGATATTTTCTGGTTGCCTGTAGAATACACTTTCTACATCTTACTAAGACTTCTGGATCGAGTTAACTGAGTTGAGGATAACGGATCAGAATACCTTATCGAGACTCTAAATCCTTGATCCCATCGATAAGTCACTGCCTTCTAATCTGCAACCTTTGAGATATAACACAATTTCATATTCATAATTTCATCAATAAAATGCTTGGCAACAATGTAAAATCGATTCACTCAACAACAAAAAACAACAAGTTAAAGTAAACCAACAATTCAGTTTTTATCTGAAGGGGTTTATGGAGATTTTAGAAATTTCACATATTGAAATCATGAGTCAGTTGAAGCTAGACCATCATGGAAAACCTGGAAGCACTGGACGGCCGTTTCGTCCTAGTATGGGACTCCTCAGCAGTACGCATCCACGACCTCGCACCCCACGAGATTCGAACCCAGGACCTACTGGTTTCATGTGCGAGCACTTAACCATTCGACCACTGAGCCGGCCGGCATCCAACGGTGTTAATGTCTAACTTTAACCAATCCACTAAGTTGCGCCACTGTATACCATTGTCTTCAATGAGCTTTAAACGGTTCATAATTTCATCAATAAAATACTTGGCAACAATATCAAATCGATTCACTCAACAACAACAAAAAAGTAAACGAACTATTCAGTTTTTATTTATGATTTTCCTCATCCCTTTATTTATCTTTTCATCAAACTTCTGTTTTACTTGACAACAACAACAACAACAACAACAACCACAAAAGAAAAACACCCTCACAGTTTTCTATCTCATCAAAAGAGGAACTCTTTTTTCGAAATGGTTTTGTTCTATCTTGTCCAATGTATACAAGTATGTATCTATCTATCTATATAAATGTAAATGATAACGAGACAAAAAACAAAGGGATAATAAGTTATAAGGAGTCTATTTTTTTTTATGTACAATATTTCGAGTAATATGGAACACTGAAAATATTTCACACGAATTTCTTATGTAAATACCATATGTTCTAGTCTCTTGCTCGATAAAACTAATCATTATGTCTGCCTGTAATATACGACTGTCTGTCTGTCTGTCTGTCTGTCTGTCTATTGTCTGTCTGTCTGTCTGATTAAATATCAGTCTGTTTATCTATTTATTTTTGTCTATCTGGTTTGTGTATGTTTAGATTATTTGGATAATTATTTGAAAGGATACAATTGCCGAAATGTATGACGTTTTTTGTTGTTGTTGTTGTTGTTGTTGTTGTTGTTGTTGTTGAAAATGTCATATGATTATGTCATCACACAATAAGGAAAGATGGATGGATAGTGGCTAGTTGTGGTATCAACGTCCTGTTTTTTTTTGTCCTATTTGAAACTTGTTAGCTGAATGTATCTACATCTTAAAGTGGATGTTCACTTCAAGACTTGAATTCAGTGTTGTTTGTTTGAAAGATCATTACGTTCTTTACTTAGCTATTGAGTTCTGATAATCACTTGCCTGTACAATGGAATGAAGTTTAAATTCATTTCATATTATTTGCCTTATTTTGTTTAGTTCTACAATTGATCAGTTATATATTAGCATCTTGTTTGGATTGTATGTATATTGAATGATAAATAAACATTGATGATGATTAACAAAGGAAACCACAATGCATATTTCGTCTAACTTGTGATTCGTCAGTTGAATGTACCTGAATCTCAGAGTTGAAGATACAAGCAAACAATATCAAGTGAATTTCATCATTTATTAGTTATCAATATATTAATGAATGTATTAACAATAAATATTAAAGAAATAACTCGTTTTTGATTGAGATCATGAACCGATTGATGTTAAACCATCATTGAAAATCTGGAAGCACTGGACAGCCGTTTCGTCCTAGTGACTAACTTCGTGAGAAAATTATCGAAGTTCTGGTGAGAAGCCATAACCAGTGAAGCTAATCCGTGTCGAGTAGAAACAGATGTCTACCTTAGTACAATGTTAGATGGTCGCACAATTTTGTGGATTGGTTGAGGTTAGACATTATCACTATTGGATACCGCCTTGATGATCTAGTAGGTTAACCGTTCACGCGCGAGACTGAAGGCCCTGGATTAGAATCCCACAAGCGGGATCGTGGATGCGCACTGCTGAGGAGTCCCACAGTAGGACGAAACGACCGTCCAGTGCTTCCAGGTTTTCAATGGTGGTCTAACATCAATCGATTCATGATCTCAATCAAGAAAAAAAAACTTAACAATCTTCACAACCACTAATCTGTTATTTGTAAAATTTTTAATTGCTTTATCAATAATTCAGAAATAATATTCATAAAGAATCAAATGAATGAATGATCATGATGAAATCCTTTAAAACCTTATATAAATCTTGATAGATTCAAAAGTGTTTACCATTCATATGAAATAATCTAGCATTAATCAATCATGAAAACATTTAAAGTAATTAGTGAAGTTGGTTATTTCTTATTGAAATGGTGGAGAAGATTTGTAGCTCAGGTGGATGATTTTGGTGGAAGTTTGTTCTCTGAGCTGGATGGTTTGGTCGTGGAGCTTTCATCGTTCTTCTGAATGACATCATCAGCATAAACTTCAGATAGAAGTGTTGGTTATTACTTATTGTCAATAATAAGGACTACAAATGATCAGTAGTTCATCAATCGTATTTCATCAGAATATTGTTTCTATATAACTTCATGTGATAAGTTCTAGAATGTTTTGTATGTAGCCAAAAGTGTACATGCACTGAAAATTATATTTTTCATGGTAAATATTACTAAATCCAACTGAATGTTTATTATTGATCAAAATGATCAATCATTCTGTTGAAACTTATAACAATGAAAGAACAAACTATCATTAATATTAGTTTATTCTTTGAACATTAAAGTATCTATCTGAATTTTGAACTTTAGTAGATAAGTTATTACAGACTGTATCCATCAGAATTGAGTTCGACTTTTAGTGTGA